CCCCAAAACCCCAAAACCCCAAAACCCCAAAACCCCAAAACCCCGCGTTAATAAGATTTGGTTGAAATAAAATGATTTATTTATTTCTTTCCTTTCTTTAAAGATTTCTTAACTCTGTCTCTAATAATGCCTTCAAGAGCTACGAGATCTTCACTAAATTTTCTAATTCCTTCAGAGAGCTTTTCAGTGGCCATTGCATCTTCGTTCATTTCCCATCTGAAGAGGCTTTCAGTCACTTTTACCTTTGGGTCTTTACATTCCTTCTTGGATTTTGTTCTATCAAGCTTCTTTTGGATCTTTCCTTTGGATGTTTCAAGTTCTTCTAAAAGGGCGGGAGAGATAGTTAGTCTGTCACATCCAGCCAAGTTAATGATTTCTCCGCTATTTCTGAAACTAGCTCCCATCACAAAAGTGTTGTGCCCATATTTCTTATAATAATTATAAATTCTTGTCACAGAGAAAACTCCTGGTTCTTTTTCTGGTTTATATTCTTTTCCTGTACTTTTCTTATACCAATCGAGGATTCTTCCGACAAATGGAGAAATAAGAGTAGCATTAGCTTGAGCGCAAGCTAGTGCTTGGAAGAAATTGAATAACAAAGTCAAGTTGCAGCTGATTCCTTCTTTTTGTAAAATTCTAGCAGCTTGGATTCCTTCCCAAGTGGATGCAATCTTGATCAAGATTCTGTCCTTCTTAACTCCTGCAGCCTTATAAAGCTTGATAATCTTTCTTGCCTTTGCTACAGTGGCTTTTGTATCAAAGCTGAGCCTTGCATCAACTTCAGTGGATACGTATCCTGGCACAATATCTAAAATCTTAGTTCCAAAGATGACTGCCAACTTATCACAGATATCTGAAATCACAGTATCTGTCACCTTTTTGTTCTTAAGTTCAGAACGAATTGCCTCATCAATTAAGGAATCATACTCAGTCATCTTTGAAGCAGCAAGCAACAAAGATGGATTTGTTGTGGCATCGGTTGGCTTGTACTTCTTAATCAGGTGGAAATCACCAGTATCAGCAACAACAGTAGTCATCTTTTTCAATTGAGCTAGCTTGCTATTTCCTTTAATGGTCTTCTTAGAAGTAGAAGCTTTAGATTTAGCCTTTGCGTCTCTCTTCTTCTTGGCTTTAGAAGTTTTCTTAGTAGAGGAAGATCTCTTTGCAGCTTTCTTAGTGGTCGACTTCTTTGTTGATATCTTCCTTCTCTTGTTAGGTACTCCAGTACTAAATTGATCCTTAGTAAGCAACCTTCCTATTAATTTTGCTGTCCTCTTTCTTCTTATTGGCATTTTTAAATTGTTTGATTAAATTTTAGTAATGGATTTAGGGGTTTTGGGGTTTTGGGGTTTTGGGG